CAACAGAATACGTATGTCTTTCAAACAAAGTTGATGCAGGAATTGTTCAATATATAAGCAATCCAGAATAAATCTGATAAATTGCAATTGTGTATGTATGTATGTATGTACGTATGTGTGTGTGTAATTTATTTTGCCTGTCAGTCCTACTAGATTAATTACAAAATTGGTCATTATTCTCAATATTTGGAACAGCATGGACAAGAGATTTGTAATCCAGCAAGGAATAAGGGGGGATACAGATGAAGTATCCCAGTAAATGGGACACTGATGTGTAAGTATTTTGATTATATTATGGAAGCTTAGTTACAGAATGACTGGAGTGAGGGACCTGCAGCCCTCCAGTATTGATATACTTGAAGAGCACTAGGTAAGAGCTACTACTGAAGAGCTGATGAATCCGAGAAGCAAGAGAGATTAGACTAAGCAGGGGGTTGGACTAGAAGACCTCCAAGGTCCTTTCCAACTGTTATTCTGTTATGTTTGTCAATAACCTTAGAAAAGGAAAGTTCTATATACTTCATCTAGAACAGTGTTTCTCAACCTTGACAATTTTAAGGCATGTGGACTTCAACTCCCAGGATTCCACAGCCAGCATTGCTGGCTGTGGAATTCTGGGAGTTGAAGTCCACATGCCTTAAAATTGTCAAGGTTGAGAAACACTGATCTAGAAACTTTTGGGTGATTAGATTTAGTGGGATAATGTATGAACCTGCTGGATTTTCACAAGATGGCCTCTTTCACTTGGCATCTGGCCTCAGGATCCAGCCCTAGAAACTAGCTCATGCCAGAAACAGTAGTGTTAAGTGATAAACACTTATGTAATTTCATGTAGAAGAAGTTCTATCAAGTTGAAAAGAGAGTGCGCTATGAATGCTACTGTCCAGAGAAGTAATTCTTGGAAGACAAATCAAAGGATATTTATTTATGTCCCACTTTATTATTTTTTACAAATAACTCATGGTGTGATACTCCTTTTCCCCATCTCAACAACCTTGTGAGGTGGGCTAGGCTGAGAGAATGATTGGCCCAAAGTCACCCAGCTGGCTTTCATGCTTGAGGCAGGACTAAAGCTTCATCATCTCCGGGTTTCCAGCCTGGTACGTTGACTAACTAGACCAGGGGTAGACAACCTCGGCTCTTTTATGACTCATGGACTTCAACTCCCAGAATTCCTGAGTCAGCTGACTCAGGAATTCTGGGAGTTGAAGTCCATGAGTCATAAAAGAGCCGAGGTTGCCTACCCCTGAACTAGACCAAATCACGGTGAAGAAAATTAGTCATGAGATGCTATCAAGACACTGGCATTAATACATCATCCGGGCTAAAAAGTTGAAAAAGAAAACCATCTTTTCAGAAAAAAAGATCCCAGGACAGAATATAAAACGGACTCAAGGCCCCACCTCTACCTCCTGCGTATCTCGCTCCCTTCCTTGCCAATTTTGTTAACTTTAAGTGAATTTTAAATGATATGTATTGTTTTAATATGTTGTTTTATCTGGTTGCTTTTACTTGGATGTAAGAGTCGCCTTTAGGTTATGTATTTAATAAATACATAAATTTTAAAATATTCTAGCAAAAAAGAAAAAAGAAAAAAAATCTCTTCAGAAGCGTTCAGAGAAGGCAGGGGAGGCCCGCACCACACTCCGGGCCGCCATTTTTTTTTTTTCAAAAAAAGCAACCAGCCATTTCGCCGTCACCTCCAGCATCGGATAAGCCCCGCCCCCGCAGGAAGAACTCAATTTGCCAAGGGGGCGGGACGAGGAGGGCTGGGGCGGAAACCGTAAGAAGCTTCCGGACCGGCTTCTGCTCCGCGGCAAAAAAAGTGCGTCACGTGGGCCGCGCGTCAGGCCGAGGCCGTTCCTTGCCGTCTCTGGAGAGTCTAGCCTGCTCTGCAGGGGTGTTGCAGAAGAGCCGACGCCGCTGCTCCGGAATCGGCTGGAAAAAAGACCGAGGAGGGCCCAAACGAGAGGTGGGAGTGGCGATCAATGTGGGTCGCCGCCTTTCTGCATCTCGGGACTCTCCTCTTTTCTCCCTGCCTTCGACGGGGAGAGGAAATAATAGTTTCCAAAGGAATAGATCAGTGTTTCTCAACCTTGACAATTTTAAGGCATGTGGACTTCAACTCCCAGAATTCCACAGCCAGCATTGCTGACTGTGGAATTCTGGGAGTTGAAGTCCACATGCCTTAAAATTGTCAAGGTTGAGAAACACTGAGAATAGACCCATAACTTCAGGGAGAAATTGAAGCCAGGATTTACCAAGCCCCAGATAAGGGGGTCTGTTTGTGAGAGAAGACTCCTGGAAATATCGAACTCTTAACTCAGTTTGCTCTTCCTTTTAGGATGGAATAGTTGGGTCGTTGTGATATAATAAAATTCTTCCCTAGGACTTTTCCGAAACAAAAAAAACCCCAGAAAATGCAGTTATTTGACTTAGGGTAATTTGGCTTCAAAACTGAAACAAAGCTGTTATTACAATCCTCGACTCAGAAATGGCGATTTAAAACAGGAAAAGTCTATTTAAACATGAAAAGGAAGACAAATATTTTCTTCCCTAGTATAATACTCCTCAGAGAGCTGGCTTGCATAAAATGGACATGAGCTATTACTGCTGCAAGTTAGAAGGATGGTTTTTATACTTTCAGACAATAAATTAGCCGGAGAGCTAATCTGTATTTTTTTTTCTTACTGCCTGATAGAATATGCTCAGAGAAAAATGGTAGCAATTAATTACTTGGTACACTTGATAGTGCACTTAAATAAATATCTATTTATGGGTGGAGGTTGATATCAGAAATCCTGCAAAGCCAGTGGGAAGCCTACCCCCTCTCCCATCCTCTTATCACTTGAGCTTTGCACCTGTTTCCTTTATCTTTAACTTGCCTATATTTTTTCTGAAACCTCTGTTTAATGATGGACATTTAAATAATAATAGGGCATTTGGGGCTCTTGGGTAAATCACTAAAATGTGATATGCTTTTCTCAAGTTTTCTGAAAGGAACAGACCAGCAATAACCACTCCCAAACAAACAAAATCCCCACCCTAAATTTGCTGTCTTCCCATCTTACTATGATGCTTGCTAATGGAGTTCTTTTTTTGTCTAACAGCCGTTTACCTGGATTTCAGTTAATCTTGCTATGTTACATAAAGTTGTAGCAATACGATAATGAGCTTTTGGAATAAGCGATGACATTTACATATGTATTGATAATCAGCCCCATAAGCTTTTATAACTTGCCATCATGTATGCTGTTGTAAAAGCCTATTTATTAATAAGACTTCTGTGACTGCCCATCTCATATATCGTAATCCTGGGCAGCTCACAACAAAAACACATCAAAAAGTCATAAAAGGCTGTAAAAATCCTTACAAAAAATAATACTGATGAAATAAATAAATCTACTTAGATATGACATTAATAGGAGTTACTTGGTGAAGTATGGAGAAATACTGCATAAAATATAATTGCTATAATTAGATCTGCCTTTTTATTTTCTGAGACTTGCAAACTTAAGATTTATTGTAAAATAAGTTTCAAATATAGATTGTTGGGAAAACCAGGGTTGTAACATTAATCTGTTTAGGTGAAGTATAACTTGAAAATGTCTAAGGTTTTAGAAATGGCTTGTCTATACTACTGTGGGAAGTCAGCTCCCCAGAGAAGGAAATATTAAAAGGGCAGAAAAATATATTTCCTCAAAAGTATTTTAAAAAGCAGAAACCAACTTTGCCCCCAAGTCTCTGTCCCAAGCAGAAGCCAGCGCTATACAAATGCAAATGTAAACCATCAGAAAGGCCCCAGCTAGGAGATCAAGAAGACAGACCCCTAAAATCTGCATACCCTACCTGAGACAGGACATGATAGGATTAACTCACAAAGGCCAAAGAGGCACACCTAAACTCAGGTCAGAATATGTTTCACAGGAAATAGCCTCAAAGTTCATGCCACAGGAACAGGAAACTATTCCAAACAAAAGGCTAGAGGGTATAAAAACCTACTACCCATGTGCTCAGCCCTTCTCTCCTCTGGTCTTTCCTGCAAGAACCATCTTTCTGCTTCTTCAATAAACTGTAACCATCTTCCCAAAGCAGTCGCCAAGTTGCTTATTTATTCCTGACTTGGATGAATCAGGATGAAGACTAATCCAACACTACTATGTAAAGTTACAAAGTTGAGGTTTGATATTACTATCTTACAGTATTTTACTGCACCAAAAGGAGTTGGAAGTCAATGCCTTTTCTTTTTCCCTTCTTTTCTGAATTCTTCCCTTCCCCTTTCCCTCCTCTATCTTTCCTAATATTTGTTTTTGTATTTTTTGTATTTCATATTATAAAAGAAAGAAAGAAAGAAAGAAAATGTCTAAAGGTTAGTGCAAGTTTTTTTTTTAACTAACTCTTATCACCATCATGCAAGGCTTATCCTAGATTGGAACGAACTCTGCAATCAAATAACATTGTCTGGTTTGGAAAGTTAAGTCATTTTGAAAAACTCTATTTTAGCTTATTTGAAATAGGAGTAAAGTTGGTCTTTTTTCACAGTGTTGCTCGTGGAACTGTTCCTGGACTCTTTCATAAGCATTGTTTAGAATATCTGCTCTAGACATGCAGAAAAAGCTAAAATGGGAGGAAAGACAACTTTAAAACCAGAAGATTCTACTGCCCAGATTGGGGGGGGGGGGGGGAATGCTTATAAATGCATTTCAAAATGCTTATAAAACAAATTGGAGGGATGAGGTACAATTTTTATTTTGTTACTCTTGTGAGAATTGGGATAAGAGAATTATTTGTTACTATGACCAAAGCCGTAGATGCTGGTGTACCAGAAAGTCCCTCCCTCTGTATGGAATAGAAGTAAACGTCTTGCACTAACCTAAACATCCCATCTACACCCATCATGTTTACAGGTATTTGCTTTTGTAAAAAAAAAATAATAATCCTGCTGTGTTCTTGACAGAATATGTTGAAAAAACAACACCACCTTTTTTCCTTTGAAAGGTCTAAAACCTATGCTCGAAGAACTATGATGTGATGACATTTCTGCATATGGAAGGTGGGACTCTTCACAAACTTTTCAAAGAAAAAATAATTGTACTGTGTTTCAAATGCATCACACCTAACTCAAAATAAACTGATTCAGCTCTTTGCTTTCACGCTGGTCCTGTCCTTCTGTGGAAGTACCTGTTTTGATCTCAGCAAATGCTTAGCGTTTGCGGATCTGCTGAGATAAGATGAACCTAGGCTTCAAATAGTTTTGGAGAGACTGGGGAATGAAAATAGTAGTGCTGAAATTCTTTATGTGCTGAACAAATATTTTACTTCTTTTCACTTTTAGGTACGACATTGTCCACTAGTTGTGATTCAGAGGATTGATTTCAACCTTCAAAGTATTGTCCACTTGGTTAAAACTGCTCATTTCGACTTGGAATCTAATTTGAAGTAAGCTTTGTACTTCCCATTCACCAGCATGGAAAAACAGTCCCATCTTCTGATTAGGAGAGGGGGGGGCATTTGAATGTCTGGAGATAATATTTCAGAGGAGGGCAATAATTTAAGACATGTTTCCATGGTCTCTTGTTGGCAGTCTCTGATAGAGGGAATAAGTACTCTGCTAGATATTGCAGGTTGGACAGATATTATCAGGAGAAACTAGTCTCACAGATAACCTAGGCCCTGATACATTAAGGTTTTTAAAATTAACAACCAGCATATTGACTTCCACATAAAAATCAATTGACAACCAATGCACTTTTCAGTAATATGAGTTCTATGAACAAGTAAATTCCATTTTTCTATGTCCTCCATACGTTATAGGCAAAAGTCTCTTGTAAAGCACTATAATTAAAACACTCTTGATGAACATTTCTTATAAGTGAGAAGATAAGAAGGTAATGGTTTGACTCCACATTTCTTCCTATTCTTTCCATGCTAACATTTTAAACAAAACTGGAAAGTGTAGCTGTTTCTGTAGGGCTCCAAGCAGTCAAATACTTCATCAGTCTCCCAGTTCAATCTGAGTCATGTAGACAAGCCACTTTTGTGATTCGGGATCTGTCTGCCCCTTTCCAATTATACCAATAAAGGAGAATATTTGTAGATCAGGGTTGAAATGAGGGGTCCTTGGTGTTCTCTGAGCTTGCTTGTTTTCTTGCAGAGACGTTTCATTACCTAAAATAGCAGAATGCATCCATGAACACCTCCTAGCAGTCAGAAGTCATGATGAAAACTCTTTAATCTCACAACACATGAAGAGACTTACATCATAGTTTCAACTGAGAAACTGTGACCACTCTAGACCAAATCAAGTCCAAAAATGTTAAAAGAAGTCTTGGAAGCCTGCCACTCTGACAAATTGGCCATTAATAGGCATATAGACATAAACATTTACATTCTGTGCAAAAGAGACAATCAACCACCCTAAAGGAACAAAAAGACCAAAACGCTTCTGACAAGCAATCAACATCTAGATGAGCATATACTAACACCAAAATTAATATCAGACCAACAGTCAAGAAGTAAATAATATCCCAATCAAGGAACTGCCAAACTAGCAAACAGTAAACAGCCCAACCAAAGAATCTCCAAGACCACTCCCACCAACACAAGCCAATATTTATTTATTTATTATTTAAATTTATATACTGCCCTATCTCCCTTACGGGACTCAGGGCGGTGAACAGGCAATAATAAAAATCACAATAAATATTGAATAAAAAGCCTGCTCTAAAATACCCCATATAAAACCCCTAGCAAAGCCCAATCAAAACTACACCAGGCCGGCCGCATGGAATAGATGGGTTTTCAAGGCTCGGCGGAAGAGGCACAGGTCCGTAGTTGTATGTAGGTTGGGGGGTAGGTCATTCCAGAGGGCAGGAGCTGCCACAGAGAAGGCTCTCCCCCTGGGGGTCGCCAGCCGGCATTGACTGGCCAACGGCACCCTAAGGAGGCCCTCTCTGTGGGAGCGGACTGGTCGAAGGGAGATATTTGGTAGGAGGCGATCTTGCAAATACCTAGGTCCATTGCCATGGAGCGCTTTAAAAGTTGTTACTAACACCTTGAAGCGCACCCGGAAGGCCACCGGCAGCCAGTGCAGCTCGCGCAGGAGAGGTGTTACATGGGAGTATCTAGAGGCCCCCCAAATCCCCCGCGCGGCCGCATTCTGAACTAGCTGGAGCCTCCAGGTGCACCTCAAGGGGAGCCTCATGTAGAGAGCGTTGCAATAGTCCAGGCGGGAAATGGCTTGAGTTACCGTGCGTAGGGCGTCCCGATCCAGAAAGGGGCGCAACTGGCGTATCAGGCGAGCCTGATGAAAAGCCCCCCTGGCCACGGCCGTCACATGATCGTCTAAAGACAGCCGAGCATCCAGGAGCAAACCTCATTCCTTACTAGGACTGATGATCTAAATAGTTCGGATAATGAAATTTCTGCAAGAAAACGACCAAGCTCAGAGAGCACCAAGGATTCCCCCCCCCTTTCCATTTATGTTTGGCTGAATCCAATATAAATTGTAAGCCTATTTTTTTGGAAATAGAAAGCTTCCAAAGCAATATTTAATTTTTTTATGTCAGAGACTAGAATATACTATCAATGTTATATATTTCTTTTTCTCATATGCCATTTTGCCAATTTGGACAAATCTTGAATCCAGCATCGATTAGGAATTACTACTAATTTTGAAACTGTCTTCTTTCAAAAGCTGCTGGCTGGCATTTGGTAACTGCTTGTTTTTTGTTTGTTTTTTTGTGCTTTTGAGTCAGTATTGACTCCTGGCAACTACCTGGACACATCCCTGTAGTTTTCTTGACAAGATTTCAGAAGTGGTTTGTCATTGTCTGCTTTTGGGGGCTGAGAAAGAGGGACTGGCCCTAAGAGAAAAGGCATGCCTGTGCTTAAGGCAGAACTAGAACTTACAGGCTCCTGTTTTCTAACAAGGTGCCTTAACCACTATATCAGGGATAGGCAACTTTGGCCCTTTTATGACTCATGGACTTCAACTCCCAGAATTCCTGAGCCAGCCGTGCTGGCTCAGGAATTCTGGGAGTTGAAGTCCACGAGTCATAAAAGAGCCAAGGTTGCCTACCCCTGCACTATACCAAGCTGACTCTCAACTGCTTGAAATCATATAATTTAATTTTACTTATAAATAAATGCTTATTTTGTTTCCCTAATTAAAATGTTTGAAAATTATCTTGTACAGAGTCATTTAAGTTTGAGATATTAAATAAATGCAAATTGTATGCTTTAAAGTACTAATGCTACATTTTAAAATCAATCGATAACAACAACAAAAAATCAAAGCAAGTTGGAGGTTCTGCAACTAAATTGCAGCAGGGAGAAATGGTTTCTGTTCAGAATTCCAGCCACTTTTTCTTCTCTTCTTCTGTCTCCATCTCCATTTTTAATAACTGCAGATCCTGGAATTACCGGAGCACGCCAATACCTCTCTTTTGCACCTCAGTGGTGTGACTTTGGTTAAAATCGAATGGGCATGAAAAAGATATTAACAGAAATATAGAATTTTGGGACTGAACTTTCACTTCACAAAATAAGAACTCCAGTAGAGTATAAGAACCAAGATAAATCGCAAAACCTCTTTTTGGTGTGGGAGGAATGGAGAGGGTATAGAAGTTAAGTATGGTACTATATGATCTTCTGGTGCCTGAAAAGTGCCTTAATATTTAATATGCCATAGATATTATAAGCCCGGCAGCTTTAGTCCTCCATTGGGAGGCTATTAATTTTGCATTTTTCTCTGAATAGTCATCAAGTCTGTAGTTGGAACATGATTAATTATTTCTCTTCTCTCATCGTTGACATTTCTGCTTAAAAGTTGTTTTCACCTTCTAATCTGACCTGTCTCTTTTCTTCCTTTTCTCTCATCCAGCAATGTTCAACCCAAATCTTCTCGGCATCATGCTGGCACTTAGCTAAGAAGCTGGCTAGGTGTTGCCACTATTCTTCCTGGTCTGATCATCTGTCTCACCTTTTAAACCTGTTTTTATTGTAACTTCCAAAGGAGTTTAGGGCTTGCTCTGATCATTTGAAGACGATGGAAGCATGGATAGCAGTCAAAAGGATAGGATGACAAATGCTCTGAAAAACAGATACCAAATGTGTATTTTCAGCAATGCAGCTTGTATGCCAAATAGGCTTGAGCTGTTACTGCAGTCACAGCTTGCTTGGAGAAAAGCCCACTAGAACTTTTTAAATGCAAAAATAAGCACAGCGGGAGTGGTTTGCAGCAGAAATTGGTCTAGCAGTTGGCTTGTCTTTACATTTGCTATTGTACTTTACAAATAAGGAATTTGTTTTTGACCCAGTCTCATACCCAAATTCTGTGTTAAAAGAATGCTATTTATATAATCATTGAAACTGGGGGATAGCAAATATATTTTCAGAATTTGCCTTTTCATTTGACAGTGTTTGACAAGAAGTAATTAATGTGTGGCATGAACTTCCTTGAAAATGTTGCCCTGACTGGGTGGGGAAAACAAACATAAAATGTTTTAAAAGTTTGCTGCTGGGGTATTTAAGTCACAAAAATGGAACGGTTTAATATATCAGGAGCAGCAGCACTTCTTCCCATAAGATGTAGTCAGTGGATTAAAGTTGTTACTCAGGCTGGTGCTTTCATGACTTGTGGGATTCTATCAGTTGTTATTGAAAAAAAAATCCACAGGGAAAGAGTGATTCAGAACAGTTCTCGTATAGCTGCTATTGCCAGCTTGAGCACCATTGGATCCCATCTTCAAATTGCTCCAGAATTTCGTTTCAGTGATTTGGATTTGGAAAAATTAGTTAGATCGATATTTGCTGCACCAGTTGACCCAGCCATCTTAAGAAACGATATTCAACTTGAACAGAATTCATTCATATTTGGTCCAGATGCAGCCCTGATTGTGCCTAATGCTCAGGGCAATTTTGCTTTCAATGCTGAGCGATTTGATGGTTGGATGGGACAAGTTTTTGATGCCAGCAATCCTGTGCGCTCTCAAAACAATTGTCCTCAGGGTGCACCTGCAGCGGCTAAACCTGCACCTGTAGCTGGGGAAATTCATCCATGGTTGTTTGGAGGGCTTCTTAACGTGAACCTTGCTGATGGAACTGACAATACAGCTATTCTTCAAGATAATCCTTCGTGGTCTTTTGAACTAGTGGCTCGGGTTATGGTAATGTCACCCCAGGGAAACGGATTTAGAGAAAAAATCTTGGAAAATTTGACCACAGCTGTATTAATAATAACCAGTGGGGGAAGTATTACTCCAGCTAGACTGAACAAAATTCTTAAGCAAATCCGTCAAGAGGCAGGATCTCAGAATATTGAAGTAGATCGAGATGCTGTGATTGAGGGTTTCCATTGCCTTCGTGCCCTCTGGGATGAGCAGACCATTGAACAAAACTTTGAAGATATGTTTACTAATCTTAAAACAGAAGTTGCTAAAATCTCATTGATACTTGGGACTGTGGTTGAACAAACAAGAAACAGAATGTTGACTGGAATAGTAACTGTTAATCAAGCAATTCGAGCATATGAAGATTTTCCCTGGACAGAGTTAAATGAACATATAAAGAGACTTACAGGAAAAGATGAGATGGCAGCAGCTGCTGCATTTGGAGATACTGTTAACAATTCCCATTGGATCGGATGGACTTATGCTTTTAAGACTACCCAGCCAGGACAAAATGCAAATAGACAATTTCCAAACATTCTTTACACTGCCATTCAACTTCAAATTTTGGCAGGAGTTCAGTCTCTTCGACAATACCAGGGATTGAAAAATATGACTATATCAGCAAGGAATATTGTTGATGCCTGGATTACCCAATATGTTCAAAATCGCCAGACTGGTGTTAATTATTCTGCTCAACAAGGTGCAGCCTCCAGTGTGGTTGATCGTATGAGGCAACTTAATTTGAATTGAACATGACCTCATAACGCAGTTCTGTTTGCAGAGGGATACCTGTTGCATGTAAATCCTAAAAAAAAACACCTGCCTAAGGTAGAACTAGAATTCACCGTCTTGTTTCTAGCTTGCTGCCTTTAGCCACTAAACCAAATTGACTCTTTTACAGTTACGGTATTAGCATCTTGGATCTAAATGTCAGACTAAAAATAGTCATTTTTAAGGCAGGCTGGATTCTTTGGGACTTCTCTGGCATATCCATGAAAAACCCACTTTTTTATGGGCAGAGAATCAAAGTGGTTTGGTATGGCCTTCTAGGATGATTCTCCAGTCCCAGGTGGTCCACCGTCCAACTGCTAATCCTGACTGGCTTTCTAGATGAGCCAAGCCAAAAATGTTGAACATATATTTAGAGATATGAGATCCGAAAGAGTTGTCAGAAATTTATTTATTTATTAAATTTGTATGCCACTCATCTCCCTTTCCATAGCAACTTTGAGTGACTTACAATATTATAAGTTCAAAAAATAACAGGACTCAGATAAGAAACTGTGCACCAAGAATACAATAGTATGGTGATGGAATCTCCTCTATCACTCCAGCAGCCACCTCCAGCATGGAATGCCTCCATTGGGGCCCCAAGTCAACTGGCAGAGGCAAACTTTAAGGCTCTTGAAGAAGGCCAAAAGGGTGAGGGCATAGCTCGCCTCCAACAGCAAGTTCCTCCAAAAGGATGGGCCACAGCAGAAAAGGCTCTACTAGACCCCACCAGCTGAAATTCCTTGACTGAGGGGAGTCCTCACAATACTGAAATCTATGGCTTTAGAGAAATTTAATTGTTCAAACTGCTTTCACTATATTGAGATGAACATACCTGCTAGAATAATAAGCAATTGAATTTTATAATGACAGATTACAATAATGCCTTGGAAAATCAAAATGGTTTCTCCCTCTAATAAGTCTCTGAAATTACTTCTGTTTAAAATTAGATCTGAATCTGGCTGATGTTTAAGTTGGGGGCAATACCATTTAATTTTTAAATTTTCAGCTCAAGACATTTAAAATTCCACAAGCGTTACAGTAAACAGTTGTGCAACCTCAAGATGATATCCGAAAACAGGAAATAACAGTTGGATTCAATTTGCAATCAGAGGAATTGGAATCTGATCTGTTGCTGTTAGATGTGAAGAAGAAAATGTTTGGTTTGAAAAATATAGATCTGCCAGAAAAGATTGAAAGGAATATGAATATAAGAAATTTTGAGACAACAGATATGATGAAGGATGGTCTAGACCAGGGGTTCGGGGGTGCGAGACGATATTCCAGGGGCTGCGAAAACTTGGTTTTTCAAAATATAGTGTATATGCATAATTCATTGCCGTTATTTCGAAGTTTTGTAAGGGGTGCGAGAATATAGCAGAAGCGTTCTGTTGCAGAGATACTTACAACAGACACTTATGAACTTTGGAAATGAGATCAAATTGTTGGGAAAGTTCCCAATTAAAAACCTAAAGAAATGTTTCATTATTAAGAACCAATCAAAGGTATTTGACCCTGGACTCAAAGATAATGATCAGGGTGATTTGTGGTAAATAAGAAACTGTAGATATTCTATGAGTAAGTTACAATAACAGACTTAACATAATGCTTTGAGCTTTAACCTCACTGTTGTTTAACCTGTTAGCTATTTTTTCTTTCATATACACCCCCCAGTTGAACACTGACAAATCTATTGTAACAATAATAGTCTCCCCTCTTGCAAAGCAGGTCTAAAATTTAGAAGCTTGTACGTCTATTTGCAACCCAATTGACCTGTTACATATTATAGATATTATTTTTATCTTTTACTTTTTAAATTCACTTTTTTAATATTTTTGTCCAGTTTGGTTTTGTCTCTGTTTAATTTTTTTCTTTTAGATTTTATGTTCTAATCTTTTGAATAAAATAAAATTGGACAATAAAAAGATGATGTGATAATGATACCTAGTTTGGGTAATGAAATGTCTGCAAGAAAACAATCAAGCTCAGAGAGCACCTCATTTCAATTCTTTATTGGTACGGTAAAAAAAACATTTAAAATTTCAGATCGAAATGTTTTTTTCTGGGATCCCACAACAGCTCTAAGTTGTTGATCAATAACACTAGAAATTCATATACAAATAACCTTAATTGTAGTTTATGTATTTATAATTCATTACTAAAAAAGACTGATTTGAAAAAGAGCACGTTATTCCAAACACAGAACAATCACATTTATAGTTCTTTGCAAAAAAAACCCCTTAACAATGGTATTTTCTCTCTCCTGTTTAACAAGGCAATCGCAGCTAACATTAAATCAAGTGATAAAACTATTTCAGTGTGTCTAGCTTTCTATTCAATAAAATTGATTCTTCATTTAAATTTGATCCAAATCATGAATAAATTCCTCAGTTCCTTTTTAAAAAAAAATTTTTTATTGGTTTTCTATGATTGCAATTTATCTGTGCTTAATAAACATGTTGTCTGGGTTAATTTTGCCTAGTCATACAAATTAAGTTCTTACTCTCTATCCCACTTTTCTAACCATTGGTAAAATAAGTTCCATGTTTGAAAGTATACTGTGCCTTCTTTTCCTTTGATTCTCAATGTAAGTCTGTCCATTTCCACACAGTCCAATATTTTCTTAATTATTGCTTCCTCTGATGGTGGTGTCTCATTTTTCCAGTACTGTGCAAATATGATCCTCGCTGCAGTTAATACATGTAATGTTAAATATACATTTTGTTTATCAAGCTTTTCTGGCATTATGCCTAGTAAAAAAAGTTCAGATTTAAAATCTACATGTTTTCCTAACATTTTTTCTAATCACGTATGTATTTTAGTCCAATATTTTTTTGCTTTTGCAGAAGTCTACCACAAGTGATAATATGTACCAGGATTCTGATTACATTTCCAGCATTTGCTAGACATATTTTTAAACATTTTTGCTAATCTAACAGGTGGAAAATGCCATCTATAA